TTCAAAAAAGTTGTAAGATGCAAAATCAACACACAAAAGTAGCATTTTAAATATATACGCCAGTAACAAATTCCCTAAAAAAAAAAAAAAAATCAATCAAGAAAGCAATCTCATTCATAATAGCTAGAAAAAATTAAAGCATCTATGAATAAATATAATCAAGGAAGAGAAAGAGACAACTTGTAGTAAATAATAAAAACCTACAAACTATCCAAAAGGGAATAATACCCAAAATACACAAGGAACTCAAGTCATTACCGAGAAAATAATCAATTTTTTTTAAAAAGCAAATTATCTGAGTAGACGTGTCTCAAAAAGACAACATGCAAATAAGACAGGCATATTAGCATATACCTGAATCTCAGTACTTAGGAGGTAGAGGCAGGAGGGTCAGGAGTCAAGACCAGCTTCAGCTACATAATAAATTCAAGGTCAGCCTGAGCTACCTGAATCCCTGCCTCAAAATAAAATAATACACAAATGCTCAATTTCACCAATCCTCAAGAAACATAAATCAAAACCAAAGACAAACCATGCTGGTGAGGATGCAGAGAAAGAAGAACTATTACACACTGTTGTTGGAAATGTAAACTAGTACAGCCATTTGGGAAAACAGTAGAGGATTTTTTTAAAGCAAGCTATAACTACCATATATGATTCAGCAAACTCATTGCTGGGTACATATACAAAACAAATGAGTTGCCTGCATGCCCATGTTTACTACAATACTACTCAAGACTTTTCACAATAATGAATATCTGTATCTTAGAATCAACCTATTCATCAACAGATAAACTGGTGAAGAAAATGTACACATACACACACACACACACACACACAAACACGAATATCATTCAACCATAAAAAATAAGATCCTGGGTCTGGAGAGATGGCTCAGTGGTTAAAAGCACTGACTGCTCTTCCAGAGGACCAGGGTTCAGTTCCCAGCACCCATATGGCAGCTAACAACCATTCATAACGCCAGTTCCAGGGGATCCGATGCCCTCTTCTGGCCTACGGCAGGCATTGCATGACATGGGTGCACTTACATACATGCAGGCAATACATGCATACATATAAAATAAATTTTTTTTTAATTTTTAAAAAAGAGAGATCGTATCACTTGTAGCATTGTGACAGGATCAGAGGTTGTATAATTTACTGTTCTTGCTGTGACAAAAACAAAATACCTGTGAAAAGCAACTTAAGGGAAGGGATCAGTTTAAGAAGGGAGACAGCCCACCTTACTGGGGAAGGCCTGGCAACAGGAATGCAAGCTGGCTGAGCACAATGTGTCACAGGAAACAGAGTTCCACTAGTGCTCAGCTTCCTTCCTCCTTTTTATTCAGTTCAGGACCACAGTCCATAGACTGGTGCTGCCCATGTTCAGAGTGGATCTCCCCTCCTCAATAAATCTATCTGAAAATACCCACAGATATGCCCAAGACATGTTTCCTACGTGATTAAAGCCAGTAAAGTTGACAGTGAGGATTAACTATCACAAAGGGCATCACATTAAATGATATTAACCAATGACATGTGACAAATCTCATAGAAAAGAGTGAATAGTGGTCATGGGAAGATAGAAGAAAGAGGGATTGAGGGCTGGAGATGTCTCAGAGGTTAAGAGCACTGGCTGCTTTTGCAGAGGACCCAGGTTCAGTTCGCAGCAACCACATGGCAGCTCACAACTGTCTGTAGCTACATTTCCAGGGGAATCCAACACCCTCTTCTGACCTCCACAGGCAATGAATGACACAAGCACGCTTACATATATGCAGGCAATACACTCATACACATAAAATGCTTTTAAATTTTTTTTAAAAAGGAGGACTGAAAGATAAGTAATATGTACCAAAATGAAGTTTGATAGGAGGAATTAATTCTAGTGTTCTATAGCACAGTATGGTTTTAACTATATAGTCTGTAGTGATATACAATGTATTTCCAAAGAACCAAAAGTATCTGGTAGTTTCCACAATGGAAATAATAAATGTCTGAGGAAACAGAAATGTTCATTTTTAAAATTATTCTGGGAAATTATCTCAGCTTGTTTATAATGTAAACAAGCTTACCTTGCGTTCCTCCTGTAACCTAAACACATAGCTTTAATCCTTCATAATCCCTCCTTGCCCTTGACCAAAAAATGCATGTATGTATGGACCTATGTACGGACGGATGTGTTTTGCATATCCAGATGAGAATTAACCCATCTGTGTTACAAACAACAGGTAGGATTAAACTGGTAACATCTATCTGTGCTTGTGTGAGCTATCCTAGGTCAGCAGGAGCCAAGAAAAGGCAAATTTCCTGATAAAGACAAATCCTTCCATTTTTTTCCTTCTCCATTTCATGCTAGATATACTGTTTCAATAAAAAAAGCAAGCCAGGTCTTTGTTAGAGAGCACCTTCCCGAAGACATCTGAGGAACAGCTCAGAGCAGTTCAGGTCCCACTCTTGGTTGAAATGGATACAAAGAATCAGGCTGTGATTATTCAAGCATTGCTGTAATGTGGTATCACCCTGCCTCAGCTAACAACCCTGGTCATATATATTACATACATAATCCAAATTATTGTGCCACACTCCATTAATGTTTACAAGTATTATGTAGCATTACATTTTTAAATGTACTTTTAAAAATCCCCATATACTATGGATTATCAAGGTATACCTTTTTTATCATATGTGCAGATACACATATTTGCATACACAGGAGGCCAGAGGACAACTTTAGCTGTCCTTCTCAGGAAGGGAGTCTACCTCCTTTGATTTGTTTTGCTGCTTTTTTTTGCGCTGTTTTGTTCTTGTTGTTTTAAATAAGGTCTTGAGTAGCCCTAGCTGGCTTCAAACTTGCAATCCGCCTTCCTCTACCAATTGGGATTACTGGCATGTACTATCACAACTGGTTTAAAATACAAAACCTTTTTTTTTTCTTTTTTCTTTTTTGGTCTTTTTGAGACAGGGTCTCCCTGTAGCCCCAGCTGGCCTGGAACTCACTTTGTAGACCAGCCTGGCCTTAAACTCACAGAGATCCACCTGCCTCTGCCTCCCGAGTGCTGGGATTAAAGGTGTGTGCCACCACAAAATTTTTACCCTAGGGCTGGAGAAATGGCTCAGTGGTTAAGAGCACTGGTTTCTCTTGCAGAAGACCCAGGTTTGATTCCAGTACCCACGTGACAGCTAACTCCAGTTCCAGGAGAATCCAATTCCCTCTTCTGGCCTCTGAAGGCACTGTACAACACAGGTGCACTTACACACATGCAGGCAATACACTCATACACAGAAAGTAAAACCAATATTTTAAAAATTTTATCCAGCCTTGTAATTCTTTGAAGAATGTATTAATGTATTTGTGTGTATATGTGTGTAGGTACTCATGCCACAGTGCACATGTGGAGGTCAGAGTCAGTTTTCTCCTTCTACCTTTATGTGGGTTCTAGGATCGTATTCAGGCCTCTAGGCTTAAGCATCAAGCACTTTTACCTGCTGAGCCCTCATGCCAGCCCTAACTACCATTTACTATTTTCATCTTCCAAGGATGTTCTCCCTGTTACCATAGCTACCCTATGCCTTTCTTCCTATTCAGGTTCAGTGTAAATGTTATTTCCTCAGAGAAGACTTGTAATCAAAAGTGGTTCCCAGTCACATGATAGGACTGTACCTTATTTCCATGTCCTACAGAGTATTTATCATAAGATGACTGTTCTCCCTGTTTATTTGTTCGTTGTCTACCTCACACCCATGAGAATGTAATGTGATAGTTGACGAACCTGATTTCATAGGACATCCACTGCCCAAGGTGCTGAGAATACAGCAGACTCAATCAATACATAATTGTAATCAACTTACTTTTATTTTGAACTCATTGTATGAAGTTCTGATTTCATCAAACACTAAGTAGGAAAATTTTATCTTATAGCTGGGCGTGGTGGCGCATGCCTTTAATACCAGCACTCAGAAGCCAGAAGCAGGCAGATCTCTGTGAGTTTGAGGCCAGCCTGGTCTACATAGTGAGTTCCAGCCAGCTGGGGCTACAGGAAGACCTTGTCTCAAAAAGACCAGTAAAAACAAACAAACAAAAAATTATCTTTTAATAAACATATATTGAATAAATCCAATTTGTCAACATTAACAGAAAAGAAACAAATTTAAGCAAAATTATTTTCTGATTATCAAGCAAGGAACTGTGAAAAATAATAAAAACTCCATACTAAACAAAATTACATTCTTCCAGATGTTACTTTTGTTTGTTTGTTTGTTTGTATTTTTGAGACAAGATCTCCCTGTAGCCCCAGCTGGCCTGGAACTCACTACGTAGACCAGGCTGGCCTTGAACTCAGAGAGATCTGCTTGCCTCTGCCTCCCAAGTGCAGGAATTAAAGGCATGCAACACCACACCCAGCTCAGATGTTACTTTTAAATAACTTTAAAGTTGTTCCAAGTTTTACTAGCACTGTGAAAGGGGACAAAAAAAAAAAAAAATCAATTATCCACCAAAAGGTAAAGTGATGGTGGCATATCTACACAGAGTACTACTAAGGAATAAAAAACTGAACAGAGTATTAAATAATTATGCTTGATGAAAGAAGTGAGACAAAAACAACAAAAACAGCAGTGATTGTCCGGAATGGGAGGAGGGAAGAGGAGCCACAGGGGAGACTGTAGTGACTGGTCTTCAAACTGCAGACTGTAAACTGTACTTCAATCTATACACTGCAGTTCACTTCACCTAATACCAAGTGTTAAGCTATTTTTGTTTTTAAAATACAATTTTAAATAAATTAAAAAGCTATTATAAACTCTATCAACATTATAAGGGAGTTAACATTTAAATGAAATGAACCAATGTCACAAGCTGATTTTCAAGAGCTCAGTTTTTGTTGTTGGTTGTGTTTGTTTGTGCAGTGTTAGCAATCAAACCCAAGGTCTCAAGCATACTAAGCAACTTTAAATTTCTATATCAAAAAGTTAAGAATGTGTTACACTTTCACAATTACCTGTAGAAGGTGGTGATTTCTCTGAGTGTTTTGCATTTAAAAGTTTTCTGCTAATAAATATGTAACCACAGGGACATGATTTACACGCAACAGGAATCTGCAGGGAGAGAAAAAAAAGAAAAAATATATTACTCTTCATTGTTAAATTTCTCGGTATTTCTGGAGTCCTAAGTGAAACAGGAAGCACAAGTTTACTCAGCCTCCCTCCTCCCTCTTAGAGATGGTTATCACATACAGTCACATATAGTCACATTCTCCTAGTGCTTAAAATACCACGAATACCTGACTATACCAATATCATAAACTATCATGACTATACCAATATCATAAAATGTATTATCAGTATGTGTAAATGTGAGTGACCAGAAAACCTTAACAGGGCCAAGGCTGGGGCGGTAAGAAGGATAAAAGGTAGAATTTCCTAAAGTGTTACTTTGACAGCAGTTTGTAAGAATTGGAGAAGGGGTGGGGTAAGTGATCCAAACAGAAGATTCTGAGGGCCCAACTGCACAGTGAAAGCAGAGATAGAAAAAAGGAGACATGCTAAATGTTTCAAAGAAGGAAAAAACAAGACTCAAGTCAAACGGACTGCTGATAAAGTGGACAGAACCAAAAATAACAGAGTCATTAACATTAGAAAAGAGGAAGAGTTCTGTTCTGTGCATCAAAATATTGAACCCATTTTTTTTTTTAGTATTACTGTGCGTGTGTGTGCGTGTGTGTGCATGTGTGTGTGTGTGAATGCACACACGTGTGGGGGATTCTGTAGAGTTGGTTCTTTCCTTCCACCTTTATGTGGGTTCCAGGGAATGAACTCAAGTCGTCAGGCTTGTTTGCAAGCACCTTTACCTGCTCAATCATCTCACCAGTCCTGGTTTTTGATTTTTTGTGACAGGGTCTCATGTACCCAGACTGGCCTTGCTACTGTAGCTGATGCTATATATTTTTTAATTCTTCTGCCTCTACCTTCCAAGTGCTGGAATTATAAACATGTATCACCATGCCCAGTACAACACAAGACCTTTTATATTTAAGAGACAACCATGAGGCCTCAAGATGGCTCAGTGGGTAGAAGTGTTTGCACACCTGATGACCTGAGTTTGATCCCAGATGACTGCCAGGAGAGAACCAACTTCCAAAAGTTGTACTGACCTCCACACAGGCTCTATGGCACATGTGCAGCTACACACACACACACACACACACACACACACACACAAACATACAACAATACAATACAATACAATACAATACAATACAATACAATACATTAGCCAATTAATTTAAAAAAGAGAGCGAACAATTGTACCTGGTGGTACAGGCTTGTAATCCTAGCTACTCTGAAGGCTAAGGTAGAGTGAATCACAAGTTCAAGGCCTGCCTGGGCTACAGAACCAGTTCAAAGCCAGTTTAGGTTTGGTAAGACCCTGTTTCCAACAAAATAAAAAATGAAAAAAGTTCAGTGATAGAGCACTCACCTGGCAGGTACAAGGGCTCAATTCTTAATAACCACACACACACAAAAAGAAAGTCAAATAAACCTATTTCCACAATTAACAGAGTGCTACAGTTAGATGAGACATGTACTTTGGTTTTGAGAACCAGATGCAAACTAACCAACTGACAGGTTGTTCTTCATCCTTTAAGAGTTCCACTCAATATACTTTTCTGTGTCTAAGCTAATTCATTCTAAAGTCCAATGTAAAATTGAAATATCCTGAGGGCTGGAGAGAAGGAGAAGGCTCAGTGGTTAAGGGCATTTGCTACTCTAGCAAAGGACCCAGGTACAGTTCCCAGCACCCACATTGAAGCTCCTCCAGTTCCAGGGGATCAAACGCTCCTTCGTGGCCTCCATGGGCAGCAGGCACATACATGCATGCAGGTAAAACACTCATAATCATAAAACATATTTACAAAAAAAAAATGTAATTTCCTCTCAACTCCTGTCCCAGAAATTAAAAAGAAAAAAACAAAACAAAACAAAAATGCAAAACAAAAAAAAACCAGCTACCACCACTACAAACAGATTCTGTAAAAGGAATTATAAACAGGTTGGACAACTTGAGTCTCATTATAGTGTAAGCTGGATTTTTTTATATACAAATGCCCTAAACATCCATTAAATTTCAGGCACTACTAAGATGAGAATAACAAAGGTTCTAATGCTATGCTTTTGAAATTTTTAAATGGAAAAAAAAATCCAAAGTATTCTTTATTGCTGGTTATTTATGAATTGATTCCCTGAAAAATCTATTTGGGTTGTATATTTTATTTTAAAAGTAAAAGGGGGGGGGGAAGGTCAGCTATGCACTTGCTCAATGTCAATACATATTTGTGGGTGGGGAAAAAAACCCTACAGATATAAAAATGAAAACACTGCTAGAATTTGCAAGCAAGGATTTGGGCTTGAAATTTCCCATCACAGTCAAGAATGAACTGTATTAATTTCCTACAAGCAGATCAATTTTACTGACAGCAGAAGTTCATCATGGTAAGGGAAAATAGTCATGTGCCTGCCTCTGTCCCTCCCCCCCAAACAGACTAGTTTTTAAAATACTACAAAAAATGATTTGCAACTATTATTTCACAGATTTTTTAAATCTCTAAAATAACCATATCACAGAAAACACCTTTATATAAATCTCATCTCTTCAATTTTACTCTCTGAGGCTTTAGTTCTAACCCAAGTCAACAAGAAGGGTAAAAAGGGTAGAAATTGAGAGAGACTGAGAGACAATATTCATATAACTACTACAATCTATTGTTCGATATTAGTTGCTGATTTTCAGCCCTAATTTATAAATGTTATCATAGATATTTATGAATAGGCAAAACTAGTCCATACAGGGTTTAGTATTTTCTGAGGCATTAGACACCATGACAGAGCCTGTATCTGCCAAGAGTAAGGGGAGACTCCTGAGATTCTTTAAAGCTAAAGGAACCAAAACTACCTACAGAACACACATTTGGTATATATCACATATAAAATCCTATAAATGGAAAATCATTGTTCTTTTTTTCAATGAAGGTAATACACATGAAAGATACCACAAAACCACCAACAATCTTGAATAATATACGCAAGATAGCTTAGTAATTTTCCATAGTCAGTGGATATGAGATTCCTTGTGAAAATGAAATGCACTAAAGTTTAGACGCTACAGAATTGGGGGAGGGGGAGTATAAAGGCCTACATAGGAAATGTTAAAAGCAGTTTAAAATCACCTGTTTCTTTGTACCTGTTTTTTTAAAGTTAGAGAGGCTATGCTCATCTAGTCAACTGGAGAAATCACACTTTAAAAAATTTATACTTGGGTCTGGAGAGATGGCTCAGTGGTTAAGAGCGGCTCCTGCAGAAAACCTAGGTTTGGTTTCCCGCACCCACATGGTGGCTAACAACTGTCTGAAACTCCAGTTCCAGGGGATCCAATACCCTCTTCTGACCTCTGTGGGCATTACACAACACAGGTACACTTATATACATGCAGGCAATATACTCGTACACATAAAATAAAAAAATAAAATATTAAAAAAGAATCTACACTTACATTTACAAACGATGAGATAATAGAATCACGACAATATTCTGTATGCTGTTTAGAAAATGGCTTTCAATTAAAATTTTTCTAGTTTAGAACTAAAAGCTTCTAATTTTAATTAGAAAGCTAAAATTAACCTATTTCTTTCTTCAATTAAATTACTATTATTAAAAGAAAAAACATCAGCAAAAGGCTGGGGCTCTGGGTCACTGATAGAGTGGTTGTCTAGATTCAATCCCTACCACTGGGGGGGAGAAATAAAAAATTCATTTGTCATCATGTGCATGCTCTTCAGTATTCAGAATAAAAGACAAAACATTCATTGCTAGCTTGCAAAAGACCATTGTCCAAAATTCCCACAGTGAACCCGTATCTCCCACTGGGATGATAATTCTAAGTGAAGCTTTTCAGCGATCATTTTGCTTAAATGAGGTGGGATGTTCGTAATGGGATTGGTGACCTTAAAATGAGACTAGAGCATGCCCTCTCTGCCACATAAAGACACAGAAGACATCTGCAAGCCAAGAGAACCCTCACCAGAGCACACCCTGGCATGGCCTTGAATCTGCCCCTTCAGAACTGTGACAAAACAGATTTATGTTGATTCTTTTACCTACACTATGATATTTTATTATAGCAGCCAAAACAAACCAAGACACGGTTGATTTTATACAAAGGAATACATGTGGGGCCTAGCAAATGGTTCGGTGGGGAAAGATAACTGTCCCTCAGCCTGAGCTTGATCCCTGGGACTTGTATCGTGGCAGGAAAGTGCCAACTCCCACAGACAGGTGCATGTATTACGCACACAGTCAAAAGAATACATGTGTATTTGTATAACAAAATTAATGCAATCTTTCTAAATAAAACTCTGCTTTGGTTGAGTTTCAGGAACTACCACAAGTTTGTAATCTGCTCTTTCTTTAACCAGGGTTTGCTTTGGTTTGGGTCTCTCTGTGGCCCCAGCTGGCCTGGAACTCTCTATATAGACCAAGCTAAATTCAATCACAGAGATCCACTTGCCTCTACTGGGATTAAAAGCATGCACCACCATGCCTGGCTCTTATATATTTTTATTATTAGCACATGTGTGTGCATGGTATGTGTGTGGGCACGCATGTGGAGGTCTGAGGACAGCTTTGTGGAGTCCATTCTCTCTTTCCACGTTTACATGGATTCCAGGGATCAAACCGAAGTCATTCTTTCTGCACCAAAAATCTTCAACTACAGAGCCATCTAATTCGGTGGCCCCTAACAGGATATTAAAAACAGGTATTTTTCCCAAAAGATTACTTTATAGCAAAACAAGGATTTGCAATGACTTGTCAAAAGAGCTGCAATGCCTAATTCATACTATACAAGTCTTGACTAATTGGAAATTATTTAAACATGGAAGTAACTGCCAAAATATTTATCACAAAGTCTAATTTTTTTTGGAGTTTAGTGAAAGGAGTGAACGCAACTCTGTACTTTGGAAAATAACTGTTTTTATGCTGCACACTGATAGAGTTCTAGCAACTGACCGTATACCTGCACAACCTTTCCCTGATCAGCATTTTTACCACTGCCTATAAATCATACTGAATAAAATGTGTAACACACTTTTGTTACAAGATTTGATAAACCTACAATGCTCCTTAAATAATACATTAATATTAGCATATTGCAAGTCTCCGGCCATTTCAAATTACTCCTGAAAGGGGGAGAGGGGAAGAGGAAAGAGGAAAAGCACTCATTTTGGAATGACTCATTCAGTACATACTGGCATGAAAGGCCTCAAGAACAGTTTTAATTGGAGTTTTAACTCACTATAGTGTATAAAAATGAGGCACACTTAAACGTAGGGAACACAATAAAATGAACTTTTCTTTTTCTTACAACCATTACTTCTTGAATTCAACCTAGGCGGGGCTCCTTTTAAATTCACGAACCCGCATAATTTTTTTTAAAGATCTGGAAGCAGTCACGTCATATTTCTAATCAGTAAATACCAAGGCTGAAGCGAGGAGCAACCTGGACAGGGAGTTTCAACGCCGACTTTATTCAATCATAGTCCGCTAAGAATGTAATGATAGGGTTAGAAACGCCCCAACATCAAAACCCTGATTTCTGGGGGTTCCGGATAGTCCATATATTTGCAAAAAAATTCCATCATGTCTCTTTTGTCTAGCTTAATCTTGCACCCAGGAGGCGACAGTTCCAGGGACCCGCCGCACAAGCAGGAATCGGGAACAAAGCCACCCTGTGCGGTAGCGGGGCGCAAGGGGCAGGCCCGGCCGGTGTGCAAACCTCTCAGGCCCAGCGGACCTGCAGGGGCCGCGAACCCCAGCTGCGGCCCGCGTCTCCCCGGTCCCGCCCCAGCCGCGGGCGCCGCCTCGCACCAACCGCCGAGGAGCAACGACCGCCACCGCCAGCCAGCCGGCTCGCGCGCGCACGCCCAACCCACCTGTTGGTCACACTCGGGGCACGATTTGGTGGCCATCTTCACTTTCTTAGTTCGAGTTGTAGACATGCTCCTCTCCCTCGGCAGCTGTGGCGGAGGCGCCGTGGCTCCGCTGCTCCGCAGAGCACGTCCTCCCTCCGACAGCCCTAGAGGGGTCTGGCAGCACCGTGCGCGTGCGCGGCGCCTGCGTGCGCGGGGCCTGCGTGCCAGGAGCAGGGCCTGCGTGCCCTGGGGGCGGGGTGCAGTGCCGAGCGGGGCCTGCCTTCTGGACGCCGTGCCCGCTTACCGCCTTGCAGCCGATGCCCACGCTCCGCGGAGTCCTGGAGCCTTACCAGAGAAGTCCAGTGCCCTCTGACAGCTCGCGTGGAGACGTGGCTTGGGCGAGACTCCACCCAGCAAGGCACAGGTAGGCCTGGCGGTGATGTTGGGCCCGCCCCCTTATCAGCTGGGAATGGAGAGTGAAAATTGAGTCATTTAATATACATCAGTAAATGTCAGCAATGGTAATCGGTGAGGCTTATAATAGAAATTCGATGAAAACTCTAGGCACCCAGCGTCAAGGATTAAATATTCATTATTCTCCGAGAAAAAAAGAAAAACTTTATCCAAATGTCCTTAAGTGTAAAAATACGTCCACTAGAGCCTAGTCAGCCCGTCCAATGGTCGTTTTGAATAGGATTCAGCATGTATGGCAGAGTGCATAGGGTTAAGTGGAGGTATAGGGGGAGGTATGGAGGGGGGAAGGGGTCTGAATTTGAGTGGGAAATGTATGAAATTTTAAATGCTCAATAATAATTTTTTAAAAGTTCGTTATTCAATAAATAATTGCCCACAACCTACTTTCAGGCACACTGAATAAGAAATATCAACATTCAAGGAGCAGTCTACAGTGTGTTATCTATTTTCAGAGTGTGGGGGAGGGGGTTGAATCTGTATATCACACTGATACTGACTAAATTAAAATTAAATTATTTGAAAAATGAAGCAAAATGGTAGGCACTCCTTTAATCCCTCTGGGAAAGCAGAGGCAGGAGGATCAGGAGTTCAACACTACCTTGGGTTACAGAGAGATCTCTAAAAACAGCAAAAGACTGTTATTTCCGCCTGAGTTCTGGTACAGGACAGGAGAGCTGCATCTGACCATTGTGATAGTTAATTTTTGGTGAGACTTTGACAAGATTATGGAATACAAGAATAAAGGAAAAGCATTATTTTGAGGTGCAGAGTTGGCATGTGGATCTGCAGAGACCAAGTGGAGAAGACCTGACCTCAACTGAAGCAGTTGCTATGCAGTTGACTGGGCAGTTGTTGGGGGACTCTGTTGCTAAGGTTGTAGTCCTTCATGTCCGGATAGCTCTAAGGGGCTCGGCACTATATGGAAGGACTCCCTTTCTCAGCGGGGGCCTCCTGCTGTCTGCCTGACTTACCTGGAAAGTGCCACCAACCACAGATGCCTGACCTTATTTGGAACATGACCTTTGGCATAGTTACTGGCAATAAAACTGCCCCCAGGTTTTTTTATATGATAATTAGGCATTGCCCTATAGTCAGATAGGATCCCCCTACCACATGTAAATAAAGCATACTATGAGCACCTATCAGCTGAAGCTTTGGCTGCTGCCTCCACACTATATTTTCCCTGACCCCCACTGAATAAACGGAGCTGTATCGCTGAATCTGCCTGCCCGGAAAGTCTTTTTCCATTATGCTCACTGGCTGTCCTGAACCCGTTGGTCGCTTCTGCTCCCTTTGTCCTCATGGATCAGTGGCCAACGGCCCTCGAGGAGAGGGAGAGACCCACAGCTGGCACCCAACGTGGGGCTCCTGGAACGTGTGGAGTTTGTGAGTATCCCCTCTCTCCAAGAGGGTAGTGGCAGCTTTGCCTTGGCCATCCCACCCTTGAGGATCAGCAGTCTTTCCTCTTTTTCCTCCTTTTATTTTCAGTCTGAGTCTTCGCGTGGGACAGTTAAAGACAAAGGAGCAATTGAGGCTTTCTGATCAGGGCTACCCCCTGATATTAGCCAAAGGCTCTTAGCCCTCTGAACGGATCCCAACTGCCCACCTGGGTGTAGACAAGACCCCCCTATCTATACATCTTTCTAATGCAAAAGCCGGTAACACAATGACCAGTTAATTGCTCTTAGAGCCAGTCCCCGGATCTCTTAAGTTTGCGGGCAGGCTTGCGCTGTGGACTAGGTGGAATCCCCTAAGGTGTTCGCTCTCAGGCATGTTCCCCTAGGAATAGGTGTTTCACCCCCTTTCCTTTTCTATCTTGAACAACACCCCTAGAAACATAAAATCCCCAAAGTTCTAAAGGATTTTCACACAAGCTTTAAATTCAACTTCTAAAATAGCAAACTTCCTTATCTGTTTTGTTAGCTCGCCCCCGGGGCACTCAGGCTCAAGCTAAACCAGTTAGGTGAGAATTTAAATTGACCTGTGTGTGGGGGGGGGTGGAGGCACTCAGGCTCCAGGTAAACAAAAACAAAGGATTTAAAGTGGCAGGTGGCCTCTGAGCACTTAAAGAATTTAAGGCGGCTTGCACCATAGACAAATGGAAAAAAGATTTTAAAAGCCATTTTTTCCATAAAATTTTTCTTGGGAAAGGGGCTCGTCAGAAAGGACCACCCCACGTGGAGGGCTTTCTCCTGTAGTCCTCCACACGCCCACAGGCTTCCTGGTGAGAATTTAAATTGACCTGCCACGTGAGAAAAAGGAGGGGCTGGGGGAGTCTCTCTCTCTGCTTTACTTTCAGTTACCACCTTCGCGAGGGTCTGGGTACGGCTTGCGGGCAACTGAAGCCTCTTGTTTGGGGCAACTCCCCAATATTGGCTGAAGGCCCCCTGCCCTCTTTCCGGACCCCGACAGCCCAACTGCGTGTAGGCAATAACCTTTACAACTATCATAAAAATCTGGTTAACGCAGCAACCGATTAAAAGTCACAAGGATGGTTGCCAGTTTCTTAAATCTGTGGCTAGGCTCGTGTCTGTCAAAACATCTCAATCCCCTGGTAGCAGGCTGCCTCAGGAACGTTGAACACCACTGACAACACTTCCTTTCTTTTCTATAATGGGGAACTCAACATCACGCCAAAAAAACCTTCAAATTCGCTCCCTTAGAGCCCTACTTAAATCAAGAGGACTTAAGATTTCCCAAAAGGAAGGCTCAAATTTTCGGAATGAAGTATTTCAATTCACACCCTGGATTCTGTGGGCAGACATTTCCAGGGTATGGACCCATGTTGCCTATCTGGCTCGTAAAAAGGAAATCCAAGAAAGACACCATTTGCCCCTTTCCTTCCTCCCCATAATAGCAGCCATTTGACAATGCTTAGGAAACCCACCTAAGGCTGAGGAGAATTTACTAGCACCAGGGGATAATAAAGGGGAGGGTTCATACAATGAAAAGGACCCTAAAGGTTGCCCAACAGCAGATTTGACAGCCCTAAAAAACAATGAAAAAGACCCTAAAGATTTCCCAACAGCAGATTCAACAGCCCTAAAAAATAAAGAAAAAAATCCTGAAGATTACCTGGTACAGATGCAACAGCCCAAAAAATAATAAAAATTAACCAAGTGAGACAAAAACCACCCATCAGCAAAAATAACCTTTACTCCCCTCTTCCCCCTTACGAATCCTCATGGACTGATTTAACAGACCCAGATGTTAAAACCCAGACTTCAAAAACTTCTGAAGATTCCCAGATAAATCCCCCTCCCCCTTCACCGCCAGTGCCACCATCTGTGGCGCCATGCCCCACAACCATTGAACAGCTGTGTAATCTCAGGGATAACGGGAGTTATTGCCCCCAGGATCCTCAGCCACAATGGCCTCAGGACACAAAAGCCCTGTCTGTAGAAGATTTCCCTGTTAACCTACAAATAACAAGACAACGTCCACTGGCTTGGTACCCCCTCCCGGCAGCACACTTAAAAGAACTACGCCAAGCTGTCCAAAAGGATGGGATCCATGTTCCATGGACCAAATCTATACTACAAACCTTTAATGCTAACCTCCTAACCCCCCAGGACTGGAGAGATATCTGTAGATCCACCCTCCCCAGTCCATTATTTGTACAATGGGAGGCTTTATTTAGAGATGAATGCCTGATGCAAGTTAAAAGGAATGACGTACATAATCAACAACTAAGACCACAACAAGGACAAGATCCACCACCTGAATTCATAGATTGAAATTATGACCAACTGTTCAGTCAGGGAAATTTTTCCACAGGAATCCAGCTGGCTGTAATTCCTATCAGCTGTTTTGAACAGGTCTGCTTATGTGCACTATAGGCCTGGGACCACCTAACCCCCTTGTCCACAGGGCCTGGAGAGACCTCTTCATTAACCTTCCTAAAGCAGAAACCAACTAAAACCCTCCAGACTTTATACTAAGAGTATAGGCCAGTTAGGTAGAAAAATAACAGTCCCTACAACCAAAGCAATGCTTTTAAACAACCTTGTCTGGGAAGGGATGACCCCTGAGCATAGACAAGCATGCCAGGGACTAAAAAATGAACATTACGACAAATGGATTGTGGCCACCCATGACATTGGGACTGCCACATACCAGGCCTCCTCCCTTGCCCAAGCCTTTGTAGCTGCAACCCAACCCAACTCAAAATGTTTTAAATGTGGAGAAACTGGACACTGGAAAGAAAATTGCCCAAAAAATGGTTCAGCTGACACTCGACCCCCTAAAACCTTCCGTCCTCACTTTGTAAAAGGGGCTTTCACTGGAAAAGAGATTGTAAATCTAAACATGACAGAGATGGCAACTTTTGCCACCTTTAAACTCCTTCCAGGGCAACCCTCAGCCCCGCTAACAAGAGAGAAGCCACAAACATTATGGGTAACCAGTATTACAAAAAATACCCATCCAAAATTAACCATAAAAATAGACAATAAACCTTTCAAATACCTCCTTGACACCGGGGCTGATAAAACCATCTTAAGGCACTCTGAGGTTCCCACACTGTGAGTTAATACCAGGACCTCAACTGATTGGGGTAGGAGGCCCCTCCCGAGCATTCATCACTAAAAACTTCTATAAATGGGAGGATCCTCATGGAGAGGTTGGCACGATAAGACCTCTCCATCAAATATAGCCACAAATATATAGCCACAAATCTCATAGGACAAGATATCCTGGAAGACCTCAATGTAGTTCT